AGTTTCCCCGTATTCCTCAGATGTTTGCGTATTGTTTCACGAGAGCAATGCAATTTCATGGCCATTTCACGAGTGTGTTGCCTTGGGTTAGACTCCACAAGCATCTTCAGAGCATCAATATCAATTCCAACACGTCGGCCCCTGTCATCACAGTTTTTAAGGCTAAAGTCACCTGAATGAAATTTGCTGAATCATCGTCGACACTTATAAACTTCTATGATATTCTTTGTGGCTACAGAGACATTGTTTCCCTTCTTGTATTCAAACAGCATTACATGCCGAATGTGTGTCTTGTCATGTGCCATCATTACAAGGGATTAGAGTAAACTAAACTTAACACATTATATAGGCTACACTAACGTGAAGTTTAGGCAGTTTGTTTAACTATTATACATAATGTATGTTTTTTTGGGAGGTGGTTAATGAAAGTGTTCCAAAATGAGACATTAATATCTTGATGACCTAATAGATTGATGTATTTAAGATTTATATTTTGGCAAGGTAGAAGTCATCTTCAGCTAAAAAGAGTTTTATTTTTCTAACAGGGTTGTTGGCCTTTGGAATGGGCTACTTTCAGATGTTATGAAGGCAGTAATTTAAGTAAGCTTAAGAGAAAGCTTAGTAAATATATGAATGATAAGGACTGGCTTTAAGATTTTTTATTTTTATTTAATTTATTTATTTGATAATTTTAGTTCAGTTTAAAGGATGAGACAGCCGAGACGGACCAATAGGTCCCTTGTTGTCCCTAAACATTATGTTATATGTTATGTTATAATAGTATTTCAACCACACTATACCCACCACATACATTTCCAATGATGGGTTTCACTCAATACAGAGCTCATCAATAACACTGTATTATGACAAGTATACATCAATTAAGATCATATTTTGCCAGCTTAGAAAAGGCATTTACACCATAATAATTATAAGTTATACATTTGCAAATATGAGTGTTGAGATATAAAATCTCTACATACTAAGTAGCTTTACTGAATGTTTTAGCTCTACATATTTTTGATTCTCGTATTTTGGAACTTTATAAGATGAATAGTAGTAGTTTATTCAAAATTTTATAAAATTATTGGCTTGTTTTAGATGTCTGATGCTGCTATTACAGTTTGCAGAGTAGTCTTTTTTTTTCAAGTTAATTCATCTATACCCAAAAGGCACACAGGGTGCCAGTGGCACAAATGGATGAGAATGGAAACATTTCACCTGGACAGGATGCCACTACATCACTGGTTAACCAAACAGCTATTAGCTGGCACCTATTTTTACAGCTAGGTTGGCTGAAGCAAATATGGAATAGAGTGTTTTGCTCAAGGGTACAACAATTAGGCACAAGCAAGCCCTGAAACCACAACCTTTTGATTACAAATCTAAAGCACTAACCACTAAGTGATGTGTCCCCCAATTTCCTTACAAGCTAATACATCAAATTTTTAATCAGTAGACATATACCCAACACAAAACACAGAAGTAGAAATAAAAATCAAGCTTCATCCCTTTGTCAGTTCACCCAGGTTTTATTCTTACTTTCTAACCTTGCATCTGACCTAGCTGATGTCCTATGGTTGTGACATCTTAATGACCTAGTATCTAACCTAGCTCACAACCTAGAGTTGTGAAAAGTTAATGATTTTGTGTCTAACCTAGCTCACAACCTAGAGAACTCTAGGATGTCAGATACAAGGTCATTAAGATGTCATGACCTCTAAGATGTCACCTAGGTCAGATAAAAGGTCATAAAGTTGTCACAAGTAACAGCTAAGTGTACAATAGAAATTTTAGTTACATGAAATTCTTGATGACTTATGCCATGGTGTCATACTTAAAGTTGTTTGATGCTTAAAAGAAAATGAGAGGAAAATAAGTTTGAAACTGGCTTATATATGATGCATTTCAAAACAGACCTAGTAGCAATACAAACTATTATAGAGCTTTATCAAAACAAAGAAAATAAATTACACTTTTGATCTTAAAACAAAATGCCTTTTATGTGAACATACCTTGGTCACCTGAGCTTGCAACATAGATCGTTAATTTTGGAGGAATAGTTCTGAGTGAAAAAAAAATTATTACTTAAGTTAGGATCACACATACATTTACTAAAAAATAGGATTAGAACTTAAATAGACTTGTAACAAAAAATATTAAATGACCTGAAATAATTCTGTGTGTGCCCCCTAGAACAAGCCTAACAAAATACCTAAGTAAACTAAACAAATTTCACTCAATACTTGAGTAAGGATGTACATTATGCTAATATAATAGTAAGTTGGCAAACATCGATTTATAAGTATAATGAAGTGACTTATTTTGGAGAACATAGATTATGCTTATAAATTGTTGTTTGCCAATTTATTATTAGATTCTGCTCGACTTAATGAACTTCTAGACATAAAATGGCAAATATTGATTTATATATATATATAATGAAGTGACTTATTTTGAAGTGACATAAAACAGAAAGTTACCTATTTTAAATCTAAATTTGGCAAAATAAATGTGAGTGGTGTTTTTATATGAAGTATTTTACTCATATTAAGTAACTTATATTTATATAGCTATTTGAAGAATGGACAACATTAATGTGACCAACCAATTCTGCCATATCATTCCAAAGACATACTGATTGAAATACTGTAACTTTCTCTTATGACCAACTGTATATTTAGAAAAACAATAACACTTGAGACACACACTATTTCTGGATTTGTGTCATGCTATTAAGTTAGATTACACTATTTCTCATGAAAATACACCATTTTGATAATAATAAAAAATGGTTTGTTTAAATAAAACTTAATCATGTTCAGTTTGCTTAATTAATAATTAATTTTAAATAATCAAAATATCTCAAAAAATGGATTAATTTATGACTAACAGAACTCAAAAATTAGTGCTGAATGTTTAAAGACTGTATTTAGAAAGTACCTGGAATGAAGTGTATTGTACAAGCGAATTCCGTCAGCTACTCCACAGATTTGGATAAGATCATCTCGATTAAGCTGCACTATGTCTGATGCTGCAACAAAAACACAAAAGGTTAAAGATTAATATGATTCAATGATGACACAAGTGCCATACAGTAGAGAGAAAATGCTATTGTCATTACTTTTAAACCATAAATGCAAGAGCTGAATTTAAGTTAAAATAATCTAATGTGAAAATTATAATCATTCCTATTATCTCATAAACAAGTTGACTGCAACAAAAGCAACTGACAGTTAGTCAAGGAATATTTGTAAAATGCAACTAATAAAATTGGATATTCAACCAAGGTAAGAAAAATATTTGAAATGAATTCATTCTATAATCCCATTATTACTATGAACTATGACTGAACAATATGCAAGTTTTAAGAGCAGTCTAAGTTTACAAACTCAACAGGTATTCAACAAACATTAAACAAGAGAAAACAAGTGCAATTCAAACTTGTCACTTATACACCCAGAGAGGCTAAAACCATTCTGATTTTGTTGGAATCATTCCAATTTTGAACTCCAAATTACAGCATTACGATTACAGCCTTTAAATTCTGATTTTTTTTTTCATTTTACAGGTTTGATCCAACATATTCCAGTAAATATGTTATGGGGGTGAAATGAAATGATGGCACATCTTATGTGATAACCATTTAAATGTCTGAACTTCTATTGATGTATTCAAGTGATTTCTTAACACTGTAAACAGAATATCACTGTCAGTTTACATTAGTGCAAACTTCACTTCAGGGTTCCTTAAAGTAGTATTTATCACCCAAATGTCTGGTAAACCAACAGTTTATGCTGTAAAATGTTGTAAGTTTTTTATCTTTTTATGTGAACAAAAATCTAATTTTATCAATTCCATTTGGTAACAAAGAAACACTATAGTTATGGAATGTATAATAATAGTTTTAACAAATTTTAAGTTCCTGTTTTGTCCTGGAGGAATTTTCTTCCAACAACAAAAAATCATATCCAGCTTGCTTCTTTTTATTTTTCAACCAAATCAGTTTTAAATTAGACAAATATATCTAACAAGTCTTTTATAAACCTCATAAATGCTATTTACAGTACATAAAACTGTCATACTGTGGTAAATTGAAAAGTGCCACAAGCAAATATTTGAGTACAAATCTAACTCACTCCATGAATCATATCAAATAAGGCTATTGTTAATTTTTGTAATAATAACCCTTAAAGAAATTTCTCACCTTTGCTTTGTTTTGTGTATAGAAAACAGGAAAAACATATTGTTGAATAAAAATTGTTTTGAACAAGCTACACATAAAAAGCCATTCCAGAAAATCAAGAGTGTCAAATAATAGCCACCGAGTCAATAATCTTTTACAGCATGTACAGTTGGCATCTCTGTACACTTACCAGTGAAGTTACTGAATGTGCACTGGTACTTTTCAAATCTATTAGTTTTCAACCACTGAGCGTTTCTTCAGCTGAAGCATAGTATGACAGATCTGTGTATGATGCCTGAAAGTATTCCACATTATCACTAACATTCCAAAAAATTCATTACGTTACAAAGCTAAAATCTTAAAAGCTCCATCATTAAGATTGTATTAACTTAAAACTATCAAGTAACAGGTTTTCCAGCCGGAAAAATATTTTTTGTTAAGGGCTATTTAGATTAAAAAATGTAGGGACTTTACAAAAATAAATTCGAGAAAATTGGGGCAAACTTTTATTTCCACATGGTGACTGACACTCATATAATACTAAAGAAAGTATTGCAATAAAGTGTTTGGTTAGTAATAAAGAAGATCATTAAGAGTTACTTACTCAGTCAAGATCACAAGTTATCCTTACCTGGAGATTTAGATGCTGATGATGACGTCTTTAACTTTAAATTTTATTATAAAACACATTAATCTTACCTAAATGATTTTGCTACACAATCCACATCCATGATCCCTAACAGTTATTTACATCAGATCAAAGTGGACATCATCATCAGATCAACATCCCAAGTTGACTGGAAACTTTAGAGCTATTTATAAAATTTTTAATAATTTTTAAGTTGGACTTCAAAATCTTACATTTTAGAGCTGCTGGAGATAATGAAGTAATTGAAGTATTTCTTCCAAAGAGTCATTATTAAACCTAACAATTTAAAATTATGAAGTAAATAAAGCATATAGTTATCTTTAGTATTATATAAAATTATCAAGTAAAAAAATGCATATAATTATCTTTAGTAATGTTATCTTTAATATTATAACAATTCAAAACTGTCAAATAAATAAGGTGCTTAGTCTAACATTGTAATTATCAACTCTAGATCAAACAAAACTGTCAGGTAATTAAATGTTTGGCAGAATCCATAATACAATATCAACATGGGGCTAGGTAAATACAGTACTATACTACATGTAAGAGTACAAGGGACAAGGCTATATCAGCTTGAACACCGCCATTTCACATTACCTTTTTTAACTATTTGTTAATCATTCATTACGACATTTTTTTACTTGTTAGTGGGAAATTAAATTATGTTCACAGTAAATTCAAATTCACAAAACACATAGTATCACAACTACTTTCAATATTTTTTTGCTTCAACAAAACAAAAAATAACTAATATTGAGTTAAGCTTAAGTTTTATTCACAACAAAAGATGAATTTCTGGAACAAAATATGATAACTAAATATACTTTTGGGACACAAGTGCACTCCACATGACTTTTTACAACTTGTTCGTTTGAAGTTAAGCACAAAGCAACACAATGGACCATCTGTGCTCTGCCAACCATGGGCATCAAAGCCCAGTTTCTAGCATTGTAAGTCTGCAAACATACTGCTGTGCCACTTTAATTTAATTTAACAACATAGTAAGTATTGTAATCAATATAGCACTATGTTCAACATTTATCATTCAACACAAAACAATTTATGCCAGTACAGCTCTAAATTCATTTGTTGGTAATGCATTCCAGCTGAAACTCACTCACTGGTTCAATAGAAAAATGATAATGGAAAGCATTAGTAAGTTATGGCTCAGTTAATACTTCAAAATATGATCAACGTGACTGGAAAATGTGCTTCAGTTGCAAGTTTTTGGCTAAACTTAATGGAAAGACAACATTACACATGGCTTACTAGTGGTTTGGTTTCCTTAGGTTGGCTTTCTGGTACTTCTTGGAAAGAAGATAACGAGTAGGAAGAGGAGCTTTTCGAAAGCCTGTAATAGTTTAGGATGAAAAGAAAGTCATATTGAGCATTAAAACAGTTTGGTGAAACAGCTAGCATTCTGTTTAAAAATTTTTGTTTTGAAAAGATAATTGGTAGACTTGGAATTAATGTTTTCTGGATAATAAATAATAAGCATGAAAAAAATATGTGATTAATAAGTTTTAAATACTTAATACAATGCTGGTACAATTCACATTTTTGATCGCACATTTTAAAATTGAAAAATAATATTAAACTTTATATGATACTTTAATAATTATATACGTTTGTTAAGTATATTATAGGTTTTTATGTTTAACACATTCATTCCTGATACACATTTGTTTTCATCCACTGACATACACATGCTAGATGAAAAAAATGTGCATCTAGTAAATGCATGTTAGACTCTGGGTTAATTAAGATGGTTTATATAACTGAACATGAACTGCACTAGTACACCAATCAGGGAATTAGAAGTGGATGCAATTTTTTTTTATGGCATTCATTGATGTAGACATCTTAGTATTATGTTATGTATTTAAGAATGTGCTCTAGTTTCATTACGTCTGATAGATGATGTATCACCACAGCTGTGTGGGTCTCATTTCCATAAAGATATATTCTACTGTTGTGCTCTGTAGCTTGTACCCTAATTTTCATGTGTCTGTTGTATGTGTAACCTTTTTATTTTACCTGCTCTTTGAAATATACACATAACTAAACTGTGTGTAAAAAAAAGTTTTCTGAAAATGATAAAACGTTGATAACATTAAAGTATACAACAATTTTGTGATTTTTTTAAAGGTCGGATGACTCACTGGCCTGGTGAATATTTACTTGGAGATAGTTCCAAAGAGGTGCTTGATGGACACTCAACTTGTGTAAGAGGAGAAGCAGGAAGACCAAGTAGGAAATCTGATGGACACTGAAACATTCAAGTCACAATTCTTTATTTTAGTATCTGATAATCATGTAATAAAACACTTTACAGTGTAATAGGAAACAAAATATACAGAATGAAAGACGTTTACATAATGACATGCTTTCTGTATCATAAAGTTAAGTTAACATTAAAAAACATTTACAGGAATTAACTTAAACAGATCTTTTAGCATAACAATTATGATGCAGAATAGTTACAAGACATACTGTTTATGTAAATTTGTCATTATTTAGCAACAAATGAAAAAAGAATATACTTGCAAGCTTAATTCAAAATTTAATCTTACTACCAGTCACTCCTTATAAACAATAGAAACAACTGTGTTTACTACTTTATAAGAAGCAACTGTTTGTTTAAAACATCAAAAAAGAAATATCAGTGTAAATCTAATACCAATTTCAATAGCTCAATCTTTTTCCCCATATAAAAAGTTGGGTTATAGAGTTATAAAATTACATTTACTTCACAAACTGATACCAGAGATTTTATTAAGAATAATGACAAATTTCAAATTAACTTCCTGAGCAAGCTATGTTTCATTAAGTATCTTGCTCAATTTTTGACTCAGGCATATTTGTATAATATTCAATAACTTGCTGATAAATGAAAAAATAATTGAGTATGTAAAGTTCATTATTTTAAAATATTAACTACCCCAAATGGATAAGAATTAATTACCTCGGTAAGTACTGTGCACTGATAAGAAGGCTGGTATTTTTTCTGTCAAGAAATTAAAAAAGATAAAACAAGTATATCAAAGTACAGACTAAAAGTAAATAATACCTTCAAAAACAACAAAAAAATCATCTGAACATATAATCTCTCTTGTCGTAGCCCATGCTAAAAAATTACTTTGAAACAACAAATGACTGAATAGATAACAGATAATCAACAGAAAATAACATAATGTTTCTCATAACACAGTTGTATAACTTTCTGGTGCAAACCTAAAAGATGTCAATACTTAAAGCAATTATTGGAATATCAGCTATTGGTGGCATAAAACTTCCAAGACTTAAAATTATATTTCTTTTATCAATGAATGAATATGAAGTTTAATAAAAAAAAAATTAAATAAGTTAATGTTACTTGTACTGCTATTCACATAAAGCAAGTTGTTGCTCAAAGATAAAAAAACTACTTTTTTCCTTTCATTTATTTGAAATTACATTTCATTTTAAGGGGGTTTAAATGAAAGCTTGATAAGTATGTGAATGATAAAGGCTGGGTTTGAGGTGTTTTTTTAAACTTTTATTTAGGGTTTAGTATAATTTAGCAGATAGGACAGCTTAGATGGATATGAAAACATAATATTTTCATTAAAATTATTAAAGAAAAAAATACAAAAAATTCAGAATATTTTTAACTTTGAAATTTATCATGAGTAACAGATTTCATTTATTTCAAAAACTTATTAAATGTTTATAAAGTTTTAGCTTAACACAACAATTCATCCTGACATTCACCTCTAAACAATACATTCACCGAGATTATATTATTTGCTCACTAACTGTGAAGTGGTGTGAAATATTATATTCCCACGGAGAAAATCATAGGTGAAAAACTAGTACATGTATCAACATTGTGTTGTGGTTACTGCTCAATTAAGATCAACTGCACCTTATAAAAATGATTTTTATATACTAAAGTAGTAATGTGTTGTTGTATACACAAACCAGGGTATCATGGGCAACATGATTAGCATGCACACACATTTTGTTCAAAGCAAATTCTTCACCATTTAACAGTACCATAAGAGATTGACCTGTGGCTGGAGGAATTTGGCTCAACACTTTTCAAGGAAGGATAGTCAGTAATAATGTAAAACAATTAAATGATGTACAGCCAAAGAACCAAATATTTTAAAGAAAGGGCTTTTCTACATACTGTGTTAACAGAAAGATTCACAAAGGGGAGCATTTAGGAAAGTCAAACATTTTAAAATCTCAAGCTAAGCAAGTTTGTAACAATGCTCTCTAATAAAAGAATTGAAAGCTGTGGTTGTGGAGGAGAACACTCCATCTCAAAATACCACTGTAATGAAACTGATCATATTTTCTGGTACTATTAATAAAATAAACAAGGATTTAAAGTTATAAAGGGGGCAATTAACCTTAGTATTATACAAACATACATCCTCTAACTATCACTTTACTGATGCTCTCGTGCAGTATCAAGTTGGACTATTTTTGTGCTGTGATAACTTGGACTTGGCATGGCACACACATCACAGAATAGCAGATGTTGTCTGTTTTGTCCAGCTGTAGTTCATTAGTCTAGATATGTATATGTGTGTGTGTGTGTGTGTTCTGTAACTGGTTCACAACTGTTGTCAAAAGATAGTGACTAAAGTCACTCCAAACAAACTTTAAAGAATATGACATTGGAGGATTGTGGTGTTATCACCTTAAAACCACTTTTGTTCATGAGGCAGGAAATGCATCAAACTACTAATTTTGTGTCTTTTAAGTAAAATTATACATTATTTTTGTTTTCAAAGTTAAGTTTAATTAATTATATTAGTTAAAATGTATAATATATGTATGTATATATTTTGTTTTCATTATTTTACTTTTTTGCACTCATTAAGATTAGTTGACATTACTGGCTTAGCAACGGATCTTAGAATAATCTAAATCTCCTAAACTGGCCAAATATGCAAGATATTATTGGGAACAGAGTGAAAATAACAACAAAAAGGGTACTCAAATGATGAATTAATGCATTGTAATCATAAGTCTTTGTTTTGCAAGAAGGCATATTCTAATATAAACTAGTATATTAAATTAATTACATTATTTACTATGTTAATTGTTAATTTTGATCTAGACTGAAAAAAGACAGCAACAAAAATAAAACAAAAGTTTATATTTGATGTATAAAAAAAAATCAATAGTACGATCAATGCAAGAATAAAACACTACCCTGAAACATTTATTGTTAGAAAAAGGTTATTTGATAAATAAAAGTGGTAGATGGGTTACTGAGAGTATATATAATTCCATCTTTCACTAGTTACTCATAAATATAGACTATACGTAAAGTCAGAACCACAATATTACTTACCAAATCTTCTGGTGGTCGCTTATCCATTCTTTCTCTGTCTGTTCGATGTTTTCTATCTGCTCCTTTGGACTAAAGACATTAAATAAACATTCCACAAAAAAAAATGTAAAATATTTGTCTATAGTAATATAACTTTAACACAATACACTGTAATACAATCAAAGCAGAATCAAAAATGATTGGAATAGTTGTTTGTGTGTACCAGTGCTCAACAATGAAAATTACCAAAATTTATTATAATTAGCACTTGTTATAACTAAACAACCTAATATTCAACTAAATACAGTGAAACCTCATCAATCCAAACATATTTGTAATGAGTTAATTCATCAGGAGAGGCAAATCAGTCATTTTTAATGTAATGGAAACTATCAGTAGCACGAGTTAATGACTGATAAGCATAAGGATGGAAACTAGTAAGATTAGATATACAAATGGTAAGCAAAAAGCAATTGTTTGTACAATAGTTATCAGTTTATTATTCTGTACATCAATAATTATACAAACTGCATAATCAAAATGGCATTTCATTATCCTCATATAAAACTTTTTTTTAAAAACCAATGACTTACTTAAAGAAGTGAAATACATAGTATGTCAAGTTTACAAAAAAAATCACTTTCCAAAGAAGAATGTAGTCACAGTCTGCTTTTGAGTCAAAATTTGTTTTCTTATGAAGCTTCACTGCAGTTTTAATCAAATATTAAATCACCATCTTCACATGAATCATTATTTTGTTCAAACTATTTGATGGCATCTTTAAGGCTACATTGTGCTTTATTCAGGCTGAGTGGCTTGACTGGTGGATCATTATTGATGTCAGATTCAGTGTCACCACACCCTTGAAGAGACAGAATGGAAATTATGTTTCCATTTAAAACTCTTGACCAGTTGGTTTTGCTGAGTCAATGTTTAGTAATTAATCAGCTGACATAGCATCATTACTACTAAAAATTAAGGTATGAACTCCATAAGTAATCTTATTAGTGATTTCTGTCATCTCAACAGTTCCATTCTGTTCAGGCTGTGGCAAAATCTTGACATGCTTGAAGCAGTTTTGGATAAAACAGTAAAACTGGACCAGGAAAAACTTGTTATTAATAATCTCATAGACATTTACTAATGGTATCAAGACTTGCTTTCTTATATAAACAAACATCACATCTTAATGATACTGATATTCCAATGCATCTCCGTACATAATGCTGTAACTTGATGTAACTGTAGCATTAAACCACTTTAATGACTTCTTGATAACTTATCTGTAAAGGTTGTTCTCAGAAAAAATGTCATGAACCAGTACCTACTAGTTATTGCAGGTGTTATGTGTTCATCAGTTATCACCTTGATTTCTGTTTATGATTGATCCCAACTTGATCTTGTGGATCATGTACGGATTACTGAATCATGTATTCATAGAAATTGCATGTTGGTTATAAGAAATACCTGTTTGGATTTGGAACACAAATATATTGATTACTGATTAAATTTCCCATTGTAAAGATTTGTTTATATGAAAAATTAACCTTGGTTTGTTGATGCCTGGACTAAAGATGGTTTACTATAGTGTTTAGATAAAAGATCTGTGATTTTCATAAGAACAGACCTTGAGGTTGGGAGAAACATATGCTGTTAACATATGAAATTATATACTTATTTTTTGGATATTGGTCATCTCAATATATGAAACTGATTCGAGTTAAGAAGTATCAATGATAAGTTTGGAGACAATTTTATGGCCAAGATTTAGATTTAAGACTTAATTAGTAACTCTTACAATGAAAACGGTAACAATGACAATATAAGAATCAGAAGATGAAAAACTTCTTACTAATAACAATTAGAAGCTTGTTAACTACTGCTTATACCTTGAAAACTTTGAGCTGGCAGGATGTAACATCAAGTTGTTCACATTTATATTCACCATGAGTCCATGTATCGACAGTTAAGCGAAGTATGACTCCTTTTTCCCCACCTCGTCTTCGAGATGTAAACTCTGTACTAATACAATTCACCTGTAGAAGGAAACAAGTACAATACTGTGTTCGCTGATACCAGCTGTATCTTTTGGGAAAAGAACAGAATAAAACCATGCAGTTAATAAAACAAAATGTAAGTATTCAATAAGGTCTCAAAAAAATTGTAAACATTTGTAATAATTCATTTATTCGGTATTTACTAATTGGGAAATCAAATATTTAAAAGATCCATCCACCTAACTCCCAAAAGAAACAATAAAAAAACAATACTTTAATTTTATAATATTTGTCCAAAAACAGCAGCTTTTCTAATTTAAGATGATGATTTTGGTAATTATAATTTTTTTTTATCTTTGTGAAACTTGCTTGTGCAATAAAAGCTAAAAAAACCCAAAAAACACCATTACAAGAAGAAAAAGAAAAGGTAATTCTGCATATCTTTAGTTTTAAGCATTTGAACACCAAACTTGATAGAACCAATTCATTTAATACTATTCTATTAAAATATCATTCAGGAATGTGTTTACATTTACTGATACTAAAATATGTATCCTAAATACAGAATGTTTTATTATACTTATACATTCTGGAAGAAACAATAGTGACACAAAATTGTTCTTACTTCAGTAACAGTGTTATTGGTAGTGACAAAAAATTGTTCTTACTTCAGTAACAGTGTTATTGGTAGTGACAAAAAATTGTTCTTACTTCAGTAACAGTGTTATTGGTAGTGACAAAAAATTGTTCTTACTTCAGTAACAGTGTTATCGGTTCTTTAACAATATTTTCTTACTTTGATAAAGACAGAAACTTCTCTAGCTGGATCCCATACAAAGTCACAGGCATTGATTTCAGCTGGGTCAATATTAACATCAAATATTCCATACGACAAAGGCAGGTCTAGTTAAAACAAACAATTTCCTGTAAACTCCACAATCTAGATTAGCAATTTAATTTACTAACGGATAACTAAACTAACAAGCTAATTTAAAAGAAATGTTAAGCATATTCTATGTAATCATATAGACTACACTCATGTAAACATTTAACTTTAATATCAACTGGTGAATAATGTAATAAATAATGAAAAAAAAAATCTTTTTAGTTATAGTTTGACATTTAAAAAATAGGTCGATATTGAAGTGACGATGTTCTGTAAAAATGGCATAGAACACATGGATCCAAATAAACCTGCATTATACACATGAAGCAACAGGCTGAAACTTTTAATTTTAAATATTATTCTTCACTCACACCAAAATCTTCTTTAGGTACTTGATGATTCATTTCAGGTAAGTGTTTCAAATTTTCATACAGTATTAAGATAAATAAAGACTTCCTACTGGTTAGAGAGAACAGTTTTTTGCCTTACCAACATCCAAAATTCTTTCTCCTGGTCTGTTAATTTTCCAAGCACCTATTTCTTCTTTTTCTCGATGATGCAATCTTCTTTCTAGAAACCTCACTCTAAAAAAACTCTGAAAACAAATTATGTTTGTATAAGTTTGTGAGCAGACTATAGCAACATACTATCCAGTTATATGCGGTGTCACATTTACATTTAATTCTGTACAAAGTACACAGTATCTACAAAAAACAAACTTTACTTTTTTCTAACATTTCTCTGACTTTTTCATGCTTCAAGTGTTATTTAAAGGCAGCCAAAAAATATAATTCAACAGCACTTGCATCTAACTTTTAAAGTAACATTAACTCTAAACATTACACTAACCAGATTTAGAATGGAATATGTGGTGGTGAAGCATTTGAATTCAAAACAGATAACAAATTTTGTTGAACATGGTTCACATTTGAAACTTCAATCTCAATTTCCTGTAGATATTAATGGTCATATTTTTATTCTAGGCAAATCCCGATTTTTACAGATTTTTTTTTGTTAATGAGTGTTCTCTAGCATTTTTTTGGCTTAACTTCAGTTTCAATGATCTCTCCAGCTTTTACAAGTCTGTAGCCACTATGTATTGGAAAAATTTTGCAGTCTACCATAAGCAAGTCTAAAAAATAGGTTTAGCCCTCTGAGCTTTGTAACTCCCAATGTAATATAATATTTTGTTAAACATTCATATGGAATCATTTTAAAGTCAGTTTCCATATGTTAATCATGTGGGAAAAGTTAGGATCATAAAGAATAATGTTTTATTTCAATTAGTAATGTAGCCTACAGTCAATTCTAAATACCACATACAAGTATGATAATTAAAAAAAAAGGAATTATGCTTTCAGCTCCTTAGCAGCATTTAAGAACTACAAGGTACTAGTGGGTAATGCAATTCACACCACAGAGCTCTAACACAAACATTGGTTGATATGATGCCTATAATTTAGATTATCAAATGGAAAAAAAAAGGAGCAATTAAAGAGATATATACCCTCGCCCTGCCACACCTTTTTGAGATTGCATGCATTTATGTTGGATAACATAAAATTTCACCTTCAAAAACTCAGAAAATCCTTCTCAGATACAAAATGATCAATGATCTGGATTAAAAATATTGTAGTGTGAGGATAAGCCTCAACCTTAATGTGCCCGTAAAATTTGGTACAAATCCAATCACACTTTAGAGAGTCATTAATCAAAATCTGTGAAAATGCCCTATCTCCCCATTATAAAATATGCTTCAAAGTGATCTAGAATCTAGACCAAATTTGGGAAGGACTGTCCCATACTGACTACCCATCTTGTAATACATGTGCCCCTATACAAAGAAATGTTAATATGATTCAAACCAAAACCTAATCCTATATCTGTAAATAAGTTCTGATTTGTAATGGTAAGTTCAAAGTAAAAGCTGTAGCTATTTCTGGAAATAATTTCTAAGGTTTTTTTTAACTGGTTAATTATGCTGAAAAAGAACGATGAAACAGTTCCATATGTTAAAACATAAATTCATTAAAATAGTTAAAAGGGGATAAAAGAAAAAAAAGAGCTGTTACAGTAAGTTTATGAAAAATGTTGAAAAAAAAATCAATACACAATTGTTTTCATAAAAAAGGTTAAAGTTTTGTCTATATATTAATCAAAAGATTTGTATAATTACTCAGTGAAGATAATCAACACAAAGATTTAAATTTCCCAAATAGTTTTAAATTTTACAAAATTAAAATCAACTCTTATTAGAACTATAAAAGAAATTTCATGGATAATATACCTGCTCTAAAAGCTTGCTTATGTTTACCCTCAAAGAACTTCAGATTAAAATGAAGAAATGTCTGAATATGATAAGCAGTGTGAACAAATGAATTGGGTTTATTCTCTTTCATAACCAATAAACCTACTTTGAGAGAATTTACTTCTCATTACTCAAACTACTTGTTAATTAGAAATACTAGCAGAAGCACTGCAGCTATTTCTGCTAGTAATTAGTAACCTTAGTATTCATACCTCATTGAAAAAAAAAAAAAGTGAATATTTTCTAAAACAGGATTTTTTTCTGGGAAGTATTACATGTGAAAAGTGTTCGGATTGTGCTCTTTAATCATACGCAACTCATTGTATCAAAATGATTGAATGTACAGAGCTCAAAATTTTCATACATTTTACCGGTATAAACTGTAATGTTTTTATATATTAAAAGTGGTACTGTTTATTGAAAAAATAAGTTATTTTAAGAACTCCAGTTTTTCAGTACTACATTTAAAAATTACATCAATAAAGATATCATCAAACCCCTCACATATAGCCCTAGTGAAAGTTATGTTCTTGTTTTGAGGAGAGTACTTTTATTTCAAATTGTGTTCTATTATAAGGAAATGGTTGTTGCACATACTACAGTTATTATTCTAATTGTATGAATCTTGAATACCCAAAATGTGAAATTTTTTATGGATTTTTGCCATTCAATCGATGGTGCAGGAGATACTGACATACATGCTACATCCATTATAGTAAGAAGATAATTCTTAAAAAAATGCTAACTTTATGAATAAGTGTGTGAATTACTAGTTAAATATGGGCAATTATATGATTACATTGTTATTGAAACTGGTCACATTTATTGTAAAATTGGGTAAGGATATTAAGTTTTGTATGCACAATTGATAAAAATGAAGTTCAATGATTTTTTAACTGTAAAACAAAGTAATATTTTGATGAAATTAATAATTAAGTAAAATCAAAAGTATGTGACACAGGTGACCTACAACTTGGTGTGCAATGTCTATACACATCCATGTGACAATAGTATAATGTCTACAAGCTTCTCACCGTTAAGCTGAATGAAGAAAAATGACTACTATTTGCATTCATGTTTACTTGGTTTAGAACGGTTGAATAACTATTACAGCTTATATTAGCATTGCTCACCACTGGCATGCAACAATGTCACAAAAGTATTCAGAAACTGTTACCAAAATTGACATAATTACCAAAATATTAAACAAGCACACTGAGGATGAAGTTATACTATTTTCTATGCAAAAAATTTGCCATTAACATTTGTTGCATTATAATCAATATAAACCAAGCTACAAAAATTGTCCTTTTTACAGTTTGATATAACTCAGTACCTTATGAAAACTAAGACAAAACTCAAGCTCTAAGATATTAAGTTTCATAATTATTAACAACCACACTACAGTACTATTACTAGGAATACTATGTGTTGTTCTGTACCTCTGCCATTTACATGTACTGTTATGATACTGTAAAAGTTCTTACTGTCCAGTGCTCATGATGTAGAGCTGATAATCAGCCAGACCAAATTTTATTGTTTTGCAACTTTTGCATTAATGCAGCATTACTGAATACAGTACACACTAAAAACAATGATTTTTCAGCCTCTCCATGTTGGATCTTGACAATAGCTCTGCAGCATAATTTGCAATGTCAAACACTCTGTTACTCATGTTAAAAGTAAAAAGCTTCTGCTGGTTTCCTTAATCCATCTAGTGTACAGGGATAACAGTTTTTCAGTGCCCATTTTAACATTTCAAACAAAAAGGAACCTATGGGCACTGCATCCTGTGACTACAGTTGCTTGATATGTGATGGTTGAAAAGGAGATAAGACTAGTGGTGCAAGTCCTGTATGGTTGAGTGGAGGTACCGAGTTCTCACTTCTCATGCAGGAGAAAACCAGTTCTTGTACTTTATATGTAGATTATTTATCATGCAGTTTTCTTATACATTCAAACACTGATCAACAGAATTGTAATCATGTTTCTCATATGGAGCTCTTTATACAAAATGAAGTTTCTATAATTAACTGAAAGCTCTTGAACTTTAAATATAGTGCAGCTTTACAATAATACACCTCAAGCAATGATTTTCTGAACTTCTAATTATTCAGTAAACATGAATATCTGTGCCTCTTGGAAATTCTAAATCCTAATCAGAACACACCTTTATGATCAGAGTGTAGGAATATTTTGTCTTGGAAAGGGCCAAACAGTGTAAAAATTTAGTTTTGATACATGCCATTCACCATGTCTTTATACTGGCTGAAGTTTTCACACAACTTGCTGATTTGTGTATTCAAAATCACCCCTTGAATTATCCAGACACTTCATATTTTGTCCCACTAATCATGTGTAATGTAGTTAAAGGTTTTTTTTTATAAAGATTTCCTAATTTCTGTAATGCAAATAATAAAAAACAAGTTTTGCAACTAAAGCAAAAATTTACTAAAATAAACTCAAAATAATTGAAAAGAAACATTTGGTAAAACTTGGTATTACAACTACATTGTAGTGCTGATTTCCTATAAAATTTTAGATTAAACATCTCAAAAACAATACAACACATTTAATTTGTTTTTTTCAGATATTTATGCAAAACTTCTTTCTACAATGACTGTGCTTAATTTTGAACTGATAGACTAAATGGAAGGCAGCTAGTCAACAGCACCCACTACCTATTCTTGTCTGATTGAATATGGTAATTTGTCCATCACACTTGGTTCCAAAGTGACGTGTGACATTCTTTGTTTTAGTGGTAATGGGATGAGAACAATAGATCCACACATCCATAGCTGGCACAATAGCAACTGGGGCTTGCTCAGCCCTAGTTTTCATGAAATAACATTGCAACAAAATACAATAAATAAAAACAGTAG